GCTGGGGAGCTCATGGGTCACCCCGCGGAGAAGCCTGGGCGAAGGTGTGACTCGAGGCTTTCATCTTCCTGGAGCATCCCTGAAGCCTGGGCTCAGAAGCCCTGGGAAGTAGATACCTCCGGAAGAATGTAAAGCTAATGCCAAGCAACCAGCAGCTAGATTTTATTTATTTTTATATATATATATATGTATATCAGGTTTTGGATCACAGAGTTTTGCTTGATGCTTTTTTCCACAGGACTGTGTAGTACTGCAAAATTAACCAGACTTGTTCTGTTCTCTCTAGAGCCACTGTCTAATCACAGGATGCACCTTATGAAAACAAGCACAGGAAGAGAAGGACCATTTGTGCAGTATAAACGACTGGGAACACAAAGCCCCCTGCATCTGAATGCAGGTGTCTAATATATACACTATTTGGCTGTATCATAAGTATTACTGTTCAGGTTTTTATCTGTATCAAGTCTGTGTTCTAAACTGCGCCTTAGAGGTCACTTAAGACAGCTTGACTGTTTTTTTGTAATTAGTGTGTAAAGGTTTGTGAAGCAGAAATTAAAATACATACTGTTTCAATAAAATCAACTACAAGGACTGACTGTAGACTGGCTGAGAATAAAATCTAGCTCTTGTATATACTGTAACTCAGATGTTTTACTTTCAAAAAGTTAATAATCAGGGTCTGATGCTGTTTGGTTTTCTGCTACCCCTTTCTTTTGTAACACAGCATGCATGAAGTTCTAGCTTCATCAGTTACTGTGCATTCTGAAATATGGCAGTGTGTGTTACAGCAGTAGCAGTCTTCTGTCCTTTCTTACTGTTTTCAATGAAACAGATTTGATTTACTTGATACAAACAGTGAAGGGATGACATAAGAACAGCCTTGTAGCTGAGTAGCTGGCAGGTTACATGTGAAGTTCTCTCTTCTATGGCTGACTGTAAGCAGACCTTTATAGGTAAGAGGTTTCAACTTCACATGCCCCATCAAAATGTCCTCTGTCTAACCACAGGGAGACTTCCAAAACAGTGATAAATCAAAATCAAGAAGACTTGCATTCTCAGGAGGGAGAAAAGAAAGCAAATACTTAGAGTAGGCTTTTTACCTGATCAGGTTTTGGGGAAGAGTCTCTTCAATTATGGATGAAGGGGGTTCAGTTTTCTTGAGTATTTTTCCCTTGTCAATACTAGTTCCTAATTCTGAGAAGTACAATTCATAGGTGTTTTCTTTCACAAATAACTAGATTTCATAGACTTTGGATTGTAGAGTGGTTCAGTGTCTTCTAATGCATTAAATCCAAACAGGCTACTATCAGGTTAAATAGGATTTGGGATGCAAAAGTGGGCTTATGCTCTCCCCCTTTATTTCTCCTTCGTTGTTAAAGACAATTCTTCCATTGACAGTGGCTGTGCTTTAAGAACAGAGGTGCCTTTACCTGCTACCACTTATGATTTCATCAGGGAAATCTCAAGGGAACAGCCTATTAGGGAAGTACTGTAATCTTGCTCCATCTCCTCTTTTGGTAAGGAGACGAGAATAAGTCTTAACAGCCTTTAGAAAGTCAAAAGAAAGTTCAAGTTATCTTCTAGTAATTTAGTTTTTTTCCTTAAGTCAGATCTGAAACACAAGGTTTTACCCATCTTGGAAAAGTTAAAGCAAAGGGCAGGCTTATGATGCATTGGGCTCCTGGGAGCATATGATTACATATATCAAAGCAAATTTCACTTGTCCCTTACAAAGCAAAGGTAGTAAGACAGCACATGTAACTCAGTCAGCTAGTATTAAGATTGCTTCATGCAATCATTGCTTCATTGCTTCATGCTTCATGCAGAGATATTTAGAAAGTTAAATAGCTTTCACAGCTTTATAAACAAATACTTTAGAAGACTTAATGTTACTGTTCAAAAAAGGTAACTGAACCACCATCTCTGCAAAAGTTTAAACCAGGAGTAGCAGTATTATCTGTCACTGTTTAAAAATGTAGCTCTGGAAACCCAACTGATATTTTTTTAGTAGAAAAATGTGGAGTACAAAAAGAACAGACAACAAAGATATTTTAATTTTTTATCTGATAGTTTGAACAAGCAGAACTTTGCAAGAAAATAATTCTAAAGACTTAAAAATATATTAATTACAAGACTTGTTAATGTCTTTACTGTTACAAAAAATGTCTAGGCTCTTATACAAATCTATAGTCAGAAGGGGACATTTATAAAAAAATAAATAGGCACCCTAGGTAAGTTAAAACAAGTTATCACTTATTAGTTAGCAAATATTACATACATACATGGAGTCAAATATAAAAACAAAGGTGCCTCAATTAGCTATTTACTATAATTAAATACCTGGTAAACAAGGGTCACATAGAAAGTTGTCTGGTAAGATTGTTTCAAGCAAAGCAAGGAGACTGAAGTAAATCTAAATTACTGCAGCTACCCTAAAAATAAGTTTACCAGTTGTGCTTACTGGAAGCCAAATTCATTGGTATCAGTAATAGGCATTTCATATTGCTCATTGTACAGAAGTATGAACATTAATATGCATGTTTAAAAAATAAGTGTTCTACCATCATTCACAGTTGTTGCTGTGCTATGCATACATAAAAAATACTGTCATTTCAAATACAAGATTTTTGCAAAACATTTTACAAGTTATACATTATTTACAAATTTCAATAATCTTTGTTTGTACACAAGTATTAGAAGACAGTTTTACTAAACTGGCTATGTATATTATAGAACATTGCTAGATGAACTAGAAAAGTTTACAGGTTCTGAAATCTCATTCAAAAAAAATTAAATTAGGAATCTTCCAGCTTCTTACATTTTCAGGGTTCTTTTTCTGTATTCACCCAATTTTCTTAAAAAAGGGATCATTTTTTAAAATTTGCTGCTTACAGCAGCCATACCTAAACATGCATAATTATTTGCACTACAAATTCTAGAATTCAGTTTTTTCTAAGTGCTACAAGAAATCCTGAAGGTAGAAATCAGATTTAATTTGAGATACCTGGTTTGTTGCATATATCATTTTCCAGTTCTACTGTAAGCTACATGTAAATAAAACCAAAACATGACCTTGAGAGATAATGACCAAAACTACTGTTTCAATGTATACCTTGGATAATTGTGCTAAGACCTGTCACCATTTGGTTGAAGCTCTAAAACTTGCATAAGGTTTATAAGCATAAAAAAGCCTGATTAACAGTGCAAGTATAAGCAAAAACGTTTATTAGGTATACTGAACCTTCTTGCATTATTTTCATAACTAAAAGGCATTGATGTTTAGATGTAAGCAGCAGCACCCCAAGTTAACACTCTAGTATGAAAAATGGCAAAGTTTGTGTCAGGTTTTGCTGACATTAATTCTAAATTATACCTTGTTCAATGTGACAGTAAGACTGAAAAAGAACTCCAAGCCCCTGCCTCTGCCACCACCAGACACAGTGGGGCATGTCACATACTCAGGGCTGCCATGAGAGTGGGATCCTGTTCATTGTCCTTTCCTCCCCATACTGTGCTGGGCCTCAGCACTCACTAGACAGTCCAGTGCACTGATTTAACTAACCAAATGAAAGCCAAATAAATCCTCCTCTTTGTTCCTGAAATCAGTCAGGTTAACAAAAGACATGGCAAACACCATAGCTGCCAAAACTGCTGGGCAAAGGGCAGGAGGAAGAGAGGAACCTCTTCATGCCCACTCAGCCTGAATGGCTGCAGTTCAGTCAGCCTGGTCTGCTCATTCAGAACATATCCATGTGCAGGACTGCTCCTGAGGAAAAAACATTATCAGTAAAATCAAATCCCCATTAAACATGGCTAAAAATGTCAAGCTTGAAAGGTAGGAAGTTCAATAAATAGCAGCACTGACTTTGCATGCAATTGTAGAATAAATCAGAACTAAATGTAAGTAGTAAAGGTATCTAAACCTTACAAAATTAATCTCTCATAGTTGCATAACTATTTTCAAATTAGCATCCTATTCTGTTATTTCAGTTTTTAGCTTATGTGGTTAAATTTCATTTTAGTAAGTTAAGCTATACACAGGGTGAACAAATCTGATAAATGTGTTTAAAAATGTACACTAACAGGGAGAAGGTATATTAATAGGACAGTCTATTACTGCAATTTACTTGAATTCCCTTTGAAAATCTTACTGAACGCTTGCAAACCAAAACCTTTTTTAAAGAACTATTAAGGCTTTTCAAATAAAGAGTTAGAAATTCTCTGGGTAAACTTGTATTAAAGACACTTGAAGGTTTGTGAAAGCACTGACTTGGAGAAGTCAATTGAATAAAAAGTCACCTCTCCCACTACCTATCAGGACAAGTATGGCTTTACTGTAACTACATTTACTGCATTTTATATGGGAATATGTTATCCCTTCGTTAGTCTAAGTATGTAGAGACCCTAGTCTGAAGGATCACTTTTTAAACTGCAACTAATTAAATCTTCTCACAAAATTAGTAACATCTGGTCAATCCCACTGCTTTAAGATGCATACACCTAAAGGAACCATTTTTAATATAAACTGTAGAAGACAAGTTGAATAACAGAGGTAAGCATTAAGGCAACTGGAGTGACAAGTCAAAGAACCAGAAATTTAGCACCTCTTCTTTGTTCACCTATATTTGCATATTCATTTAAACAGTCATAACTCCTAAGCAAAGTAGAGTCAAACTAGGTACCTAGTTAGCCCACAGAGATTCAATGTTTGTTCCCATTTATAGACCACATGAAATGCAAATGTCAAATCCAGATTTTTTTGTCTTTGAAGAATCTATCTGCTGCAGTGTAGGCTTTCCACATTTGCTTTGTACCTTTGCTCAGGTGTGTGATGCCTGGGCTCAAGAGGAGCATGGTATGTAGCATTCAGTTCTACTCCAGCTGATGGAGGATGCTTTTCTTTGTGAAAGCTTCCACTATCTGTAAAATACAGCTTGGGTCTCTGATGATATTTCATCCTGTATGTGTCAGTCATACAACTATCTACTGAAAAATAAGTCGTTAGGGATACACTATCATTTCCATCCACATAGCCAGGACTTGGTCCTGTATGACGAGATCCTTTCTTTAAAAAGTTTTCAGAGACAGTCCAAAAGTCATTAACTGGTAAGCAAGGTGGAGAATCTGGTTTATGAACAAATAGTTCATTCCCTTGAAATGGCTCTTTAAGCCTTTGTTCATTTGTAAATACGCTTGCTTCTGGTGCAGATTTTAAAGGGGTACCTGTTTGCCTTAACAGATTATTTTGCAACACTTCTGTTGATTTTACATCAGCTGGCAAGTTATTTTCTGATCCTGGCAAAGTATTAAGAGCGTATTTCTTCGGTGGTAAAGGGGGAGGAAGATTCTGGTACACGGCTTCAGGCACCCAAAGAGCATCCACCCTTCGGAGTGGGTGACTGGGGTGCTCACCAGAAGAGGGAAGCACCATGGGCCTTTCTAACAGGTTCTGTGGCACACAAGGCAACAACCCCACCTTGGGACCAAATGTTCTTGTGTGATGAGACAGTGGCTGGGAAGAGGAGTGAAAGTCATTGCTGACCGGCTTCCTTCCGCAGATATTTTCAGTGTAGGAGTGGGACACGCCATCAGCACAACGTACAGACACATTCATCTTCTCCAACTTTTCTGGACTAAGCCACTCTGAGGAAATCTGTTCATTTGCCTTACTCCTACTTTCTGACTTAATGTCTTTAGCAAGTGGCTGTAGAGCTGATGATGGGATAAGTTTCCTATTGGTCTCAGGCATTTCAACTCTAAAATACAAAAACACACAGGATGCAAGATTCCATAAAATGTAAAACAAAACTCAAATAACCCAAGAATTTTTTTCCCAAAGGCAGCCTTAGGAACACTGCTTAAATGTTCAAAGTGACTAGAGAATTTGAGATTTGCTTAACATACAGCCATTTGTATTAAATCACTTCAAAGTTTCTTTCATTTAAAATGTAAAGGGTCCCCCAAAAATCTCTGCAAGAGACTGAATATCTGTAAGGTGCGATAATTCTTTCAACATTCAGAAGTTTGTCAAAAATGGCCTCTGCTCTCTTTTAAGGCTCCCTATGACTCAAGCCTGATACATCCACTTTTCAAATACTAGATTTTACTTTTGACTGCTTAATTTGTGTTTAGATTCTTTAGTTTTAAGAGGTACTGAGCACTTACAGTTCAAATTAGAAGCAACAGATTTATAGGAACAGCTTATAAACATGTTGCTTTTTCTTCCCAGCCAAACCTTTCAAAACATTATGGGGTTATTGTGATAACCACAGATTGGTTAATCACTGCCTGTTGTAGTATATAAATTCCAAACAGAAAACTATTGAACCCCTTTGCTCTGGTAAGATGGTTTTAAACAATACCACAGAATCACAGAACTGTCAAGAGTTGGAAGGCACCTCTAGAGATCATCTAGTGCAACTCTCCCACCTATGATCACCTAGAGCACATTACACAGGACTGCAGCCAGGCACATTTTGAATATAAGCTATTTGGTTCCACTAACAGCATCAAAATCAAAATACAGACAAAGAGTATTTAGCCCTATCATGTAAAATACAAAAGGCATTTTATGTAAAAAATATTAGATATCGTAATTTTTGCATGCTTAATATTGATTACTATCACATAACAGAATTCATTATTTCTAAACTATTGCAGAGTAAATTAATGCTAGTATTAGTTACCTCTTTACTGGAGGACTGGGCACCTGTAAACGTGATTCTGTTGGGAAATTAACATGAGGTCTGTAGTTAACTTCTGAATTTATCTGGTCTTTCCTCAAATCTGGAGGTATAAAAAAAAATTTCAAAATAAGCAGAAATACAGTCTGATTCCTTCTTTGTAAAAAATCATAACACAACAGGACAATTTTTTTCAAGATTTGACATTGATCAAAATAGTGATTTTTAAGACAATCCTGCACAGAAGGTCAGATCCTACATTAATCCAAAATAATCTGGAGGAAATGTTCTTTTTTTTAATGTTACCAGAAAATAGGTAATTACCACAGTTTTTAAATCCCATAGATGTATTTTCAAAATCTTCTTAACAGTTAATCAAATTAAAAGCACATTTTCAAAAGCAGCTTTTTATAAACGCAGGTTTATTCAAACATCCAAAGTCATTTAAATTCCAATATAAAAGCTATGTCTTCTGAAATCTCACATCATGTAATAATAATGGAATGAATACTATAGAGATCGTGGAGTCTTTTGGGTTTTTTTTTCCTTGTTGTTTGTGTTTGATGTGTTGTTGGTTTGTTGTTTTTTTTAAAGAAATGCATTATACATTCTTTGAAACACACATAAACCCAGCAATCTACAGTTCACAGAGATGCTGAGCAGACAGAGCATTCTCAGTCATGAGCCCTAAACATACAACAGGAGAGTGCCTGGGTCCACACTACTACACTCACACTTTAGAAGCTCCTTTTATTCTCAAGCAAAGAATCACTCCCTAATACACAATTTTTGAACAATGCAGCTCCTAGTTAACAGTAAATAAAGGAAGCATTGAAGTATCCACTTTGACACCACACAGATTATAACACCCTCTGAGCAAGTGACAAGCAACAGTCTGTTTATTTAGAGATAGATGTAAGTCCTCCTACTGCAATGATGGCTCGTTATAATCAGTCACCTGCTCTGAAGCCATTCAAAGGAAGTCTTATTCTGTGCATGTACAGACTAGATCTATGTAACTGCTATGCCTATTTAAAAAAACAAAACTAAGCAGGACTTAAAAAAAGGCAACATACATTGCTCAGTTTCTAGTAGAATGATCTTGTGCTCAGTAGACTGGACTCTTAGACAAAATGGAGTAACATAGACTGTTCCATACTTTCATCAACAAAAGCTACAAAAATTCTGTTATCTTTTCTTAAATTATATAATCTGACCAAGATTAAATGTTTTTTTTTTATCCACTTATCATTTCCCCAAGTTTAAAGAAAGTTATGGACCTTTTGACTCATAAACACAAATTAAAAACCCAGCAACAGAAAAGTACTAAACTAAAAACTTTGCGTGATGCTTCTGGGTGATACTTGTTTTGAGGATCAGTATCTGCTTTCTTTAATTGATGAAAGACTAAACACACTAAATCTCTGACAAATAACATAAGTTATAGATACTAAAACAGCATATAGCACAAGAGACAAAGCTCCTATATGTGTTTCCTTTAAGCCTCAAAATAAAAAAAACCCTAAACTTAATTGAAAAATAAATCTAGGTATTCTGGCAGAGTTAATAATACCACAACCTTAGAAATAAACCTTATAGGAAAATACTGTTACTGAACGAGCCCATGTGTCACTGGCAAGGGACAAGCAATTAACCTGAAAGATCAAAACTGTTCCATCAGGCTATGGCATCAGAGCTAACTTAAACTGAGTAACATTTCAAACAGAAAACATTTCATTCTGCTATGGAAATTAAGGAACTGTAAATTACCTTACTAAAATTAAAGCACAGGTTCTGACACAATTTCCTGTGAATATGTCCAATTCTGTATTTAATCTTGGTCCCAGTGTCAGGATACAGTGCTACAGAAATGAGTTAAATAATTTGCTAATTATCGGTGTCTGAAGTTAGTGTTTTTAACTTTCAGACTTTGAATATATCGACTTTATACAAGGGCATGTCTACTTAAAGACGGCAAATAAATCGCCAGTACAACTGCTCTTTAATTCCCCTAGCTGCCTGATGTACAGATTACCGACCTTTACTTTTTCCTGCCAAGGAATTTCTCACACTCAGCCTGAGAGGCAGTATCACAGTATCACAAATTGGTCAGGAGGCGGCAGCAAAGGTTAAGAGGCTGTTTCCTTGGTGTGACCACGGCACAGATCCAGCCAAAGCTGCTCAGCAATACCAGGTGGTTTGTGCCTTCAGAATTCCAGCTAACTTAAAAATAGATGTGTTATTTTCTCTTCTGCTGACAGGATACCCATGCATGGTTAAAACCAGACGCAGACTCGGTTGGGAATTTTGGCTCTAAGTTCTTTGCAAACCTAAATATGGGGCACACAAGCACTGTGCTCCGTGGGAGATTGACATCCTTATCAATGGGTCAGAGGAAGCTTACTAATAAATTAAATGTAACTGTTGTCTAAAATACAAAGCAGTCTGCTTTTAAGATTCATTAACATCTATTTTCACATCTGAAGACAATCAAAGATTTTCAGAAGATTAACAGCCATTCTATAGTAACAGGTCGGACAGACAAGCTCTCCTGTAATGTCTCCACCCACACATACAGCACGCTTGCAAAAATCTCCAAAGCACTATTTCTGGAAAAACCAAAAGAATCTCAAAAAAAATTCCCACATTAAATTAGATTTCCTTCTAATGTGTTTTAGCTGCAAGTTTCCTGTAGTTTTGATTACCTGTTTGTTCAAATTTATTTTAAGCTGCCAATAAAAACTGAAGGTGTAATACTTTTTGTAACAAATACTGTGGCAATTCCCTCCTCTGAACCCAGACATTTTTCTGTATTCAGGAGAAATGACAAACTGACAAACTTGAAGCTTTGGAAATGCAGAACAACATAGTGCTAGTCAAGAAGGCAAACATGCTATAACTTCTCTAAAATAGAATATATATATATTTTTTTAAGTGACCACCTTTAGAAAAAAAAATTCTTACATCCAAGAAACTGTCCTTTTGGAGTAACATTCAATTGCAAATATTTTCACTATTGTTTTTTTGAGGGTGGGGCTGTGTGTACTTGCATGTGTGAAAAAACTTTAGTAAGCTCTGAAATGAAGCAACAGTCAAAGATGACCAGCTATTACCCTCCGTTCATTCTCATTTGCTCTCAGTAAGTTTTAGGTTTGTTTTAAAACCCAGCACTGAACTTTTGCACCACCTAATTTAAATTGCAAACCTCTCACACTAATAAAGTGAATTACAAATGTGAGCGTGCTTTACATTTCAGTCTTCATGGGTTGCTTGACTACATTTGGAAATCTTGAAAGTTTAGAGTTTGGGTTGTTTTTTTTAATTAAATGAAAAACGTTAATCTATCATTTAAAGACACTATGGAAAATAATTTATTTGTTTCTGTTTCAAGGTAAGTAAATTAAATAGCTGCATGCTTTAACTCTACTCAGTTCTTCAAACATGACAGTCATACACACTGACCGCACCATAAAGGTAACAACTGGATTTTCTTAAGTATAGTTCAATATTTTAAATTATTACTATAAATATATGGCTTTCCTAAGATGATGAATTTTCTTTTTCAGAATTATGGTTTGTTTGTGGGATTTTCTGAAGTGACAAATAAACAAAGACACTTTGGATTCTTCTTTACATACTCAGAGCTTCAGAATAATTCTAGATTTCATTTGGATTTGTCTCATGCTATTGAAGTGAATAATTATTAATGGGAAAGTCTCTGGATTTGCAATATTACAAACACTGCTTTGCATTTATTTTCAATGGGAAGCAATTATTAATTTAAAGCATTGATTCAAAATACATCGTTTTTTGAGATCACTGAACATACAGCTTTTAATACTGCATCTTAAATATGAGGCCATCAAACACTTGTCAAATTTTAATCACAGTGCTAGTCTGCTGACAGGTTAGTTGAAGAATTAAGTGCTCTGAGCTTTGGCAGAGCTGGAGGGGAGGCATCTAAAAGACAGGACTACTAGGATTTAATTTACTATTTTTTTTCAATTAATCTTCCCAACTCCTGAAATAGTCAGGAGTGGCAATTTCATGAAAACATCTGTGCATTAGGAATTGGGGAAGGTAGGCATGAAAGCCACTAAAACTCCCTTATGACTGAAAATTATTATCTGTAGCTAGCATGCAGATTGTCCTGAAAATCCACTAAAAAACCCATTAAAAATCCATTTTCAACTTCTAAGAATTATAATAATTGCTCTTCAAGTTAAGAATGTGAGGTTGGAAGTTTTGCCCTCACACTGTTGATATCACATGCTCTTTATAAACAACAACAACAACAAAATCAGTCTCCACCATTCATCAAGTTCAAACTTCAGTAACATGATCATTAATATAAATTAAGGATACTATATCTGCTTACTTAATATCTACATTTTCCTGCCAAAATTTGAGCAGACAAACTAGGGGTTGGCCTTGTGGGTCATGTGCTTCAGCACTGCAGTTATCTACTGCCTCCTACCAGGGAAAGAGGCAGCCATTTCATTTTCATCATCACTGTGTGATCCAATGTTACTATCTTTATAATGCTCTAACAATACATTTATTTTTGTAAGTCAGGGACAGAATTCCTCAACTGCTGAAAAGTAGCCTTATTCAGCTCCAGTTAAAAATGAGGAACTGGAAAACTACAGTTACACAAATGGTGGGCACAATTAGAAGTCCAACATTATTTCCATAAGAACTAACAGAAGTTACCACACAAAAAAAGCACCCACAGATTTTTTTGTTTGTTTTCAAGTTGCCATGAAAGACTAACAAAAATTTCTTACATTCCATTCCTCTGTCAGAAAGGACTGTTTATTTCTTTAAGCACTATTTTCTAGGAGTCCATTTGGTATTTACCTACCAATTCTTATCTTGTTCATAGTATTCAGAGATAACACAAGGTAATACAGCCAATAACTGTAAATTATCACTATTGTCCTTGCTAGAGATGTCTTGATGTACCTTTCAGACAACAAAAAAGCTTTTTAAATCTTTAACCCTACACAAATGTGAAATTATAAAATTCTTCAAATCTTTTCAGTCCACTAATAATTTCCACTAAAAGTATTATTTTCCAAAACATGCACTCATGTAAGAACTTCACATTTGATTTAGTATAAATACATTTTTGTTATGAAACTATACAAAAGTTAGCTACTCAATTAGAATAACTTTTCAACAGATGGGATCTTATCACCCATGTTTTATGATAACTAAGATCATCTGCAGTCACTACCCTTTTTTAAAGAAAATGTATGATGCATGTTGAAAGCTTTAAGTACAGTACATGGCTCCCTCCAGAGACTACTGGCTTACTAAGCTCAAAAACATTGCTTGAACCCACGTATTTTTCACTCCGAGTCCTTTGTTTTTCACTAGTGTTTTTCTTCTTTTTGTTATCCAAGTGTGGGGTTTTTTTTTCTATTGGTATGGTAAATATAGTACAGAAAAGCAGAATAAGTGTAATGCAAAAACTGGTATTTGTATTCCATGCAACATCAATTTTGGGGTTTCTTGTAGTCAGAATAAACAAACACCAGATTAGTTTTCTTCCTAAAATGAAAAAATAATTATGAACACTGGCAGAAAAGAAAAAAAATGGTGCAGTAACCCTCCCCCCCCATCCCCAGTTTAAGTTTTAGAAGAAACTATACTACTTATTATTTGAAAAGAAGTATGATATCTATAAGAATCCAACATTTCCTGGGGAAGTGGCTTAATATTTATTGCACTTCTTTTACAAGCACAATTCAATTGTTCCAGCAACAGTAGATAATGATTTTGGCTGGCCTCGTGCTGACCTATAGTATTTATATGCCAAGGCATTTATCAGCTTTATAAAAACCCAACAGACATATTAGTATGTAAAAGGAAGTAGAGTTCCTTATTATAAGTGTTTCTTCCTGATATTGCTTCATATCTTGAAGGAAAACAAAAGGTGCCATGGTACACCCAGACATTTGACAAAAGTCTTCCTTAGTATCCACCAAGAAAGCTCATAGGAATGCTTCTGGGAGAAACACAGGGAGTGAACAAAAGCACCATGATTTTTCTCTTTTTTATATTTTTAATTTGGGGGCCTGAGGGAGGCAAGGAAGCAACATGCACCTTTGCTAGAAAACAAACACTAAACTGAGACATATGCTCTCAAAGCAGAATCTATGCAACAGAAATGGAGAGTTACTTTTAATAATTTCTCCATTGGATTAAAAAGAAAGCACCAATTAAGGCCAGTGAAAATTAATTATGCTGGAGGTTTTATGCCAGCACAGAGTAATCAAAAAAATCACAGATTCAGCAAATGATAAAATGGCTTGGGAGGTGCCATTATGATCATCCAAGCCCAACTCCTTGCCCTGGGCATGGACACCTTTCACTAGACCAGGTTGCTCCATCCAACTTGGCCTTGACACTTCCAGGGATGGGGCAGCCATAACTTCTTTGGACAACTTGTGGCAGTGTCTCACCACTCTCCTTGTAAAAAAACCCCAAAACAACAAACCAGATAACAACAACAAAAACAACCAAACACCCCCAAAAAAACTGCAAACAACAAAAAACACTCCAACAAATAAATCCCTTCCTTATCTCAAATATAAATCTGCCCTCTTTCAGTTTAAAACCACTGCCTCTTGTCATATCACTATAGGCCTTGGTAAAATCACTAATACTGGTGGAGAACAGCATTTTTAGTTCTTGTACAGAGAACGTACACCAGTCAGAGGCAGTTACACCTTGACTGCTTCCTGAGGAGGGAGTGGCATACGACAAGCACAAAGAAGGACAAACTGTTCTGTCAATCCATGAGGAAAATGATTCACAATGAAACACCAGCAGAGGACTGCTGCAAAAAGAATCATTGTATCCAAACTATCTAACAACCTATAAAGAAGCTGTGGCCTTCCAAAAAGCTGTATTTAAAACAGATCCAAGTGCTACAGAAAAATCACCTAGGCTGTTATTTTTGGTGCTAGAGGTCATGTGAAACAAGTGTTCGGGAGACAGACCATGCTTTTTCCTGACAGCACAGAGCCCAGCACTACCGCTGCTGTCTGAAAGGAGATAGAAAGAACAGGTAAACTCCCACCACCCATATTCATGACCTAGCACAGAAGTAGGGAACTACTACTGCTGCTACCACTCCAACACAATTTTCTTCAGAGGACAGTGGAGCACTGAAAAAAACTCAGCCCCTCTATCTGAGAACCCATGTATCATGGCCCATAGCTAGGAATCCATTTATGCTGTACATCTGCACTGCACCAAAGCCAGGAAACTGAATAAATTCATGTGGTTTGGGCAACAGAAAGCTTTAAATGCCTCTCCAAAAGTGACACTGTTATTGAACTGCTGCTCCATCATATTTCCATCAAAATCTATCAAGAATGAATATGAATATTTTCCATCTTTATCCATCAGTCTAACTCCCTGAAATGGTTTAAAATGTGAACAAGAACAAAATTCAAGATTCACTGTAAAGGTAAGAAAGCCCACAAAACAGATTTATTTTTTTTTTTACCAATTTAAAAAGACAGAGTACATGGTTATAATGAGTCGGCAATAAAGCTCACTACTGAAAAAGTATATAGAAACCCCTAACATCTAGGCCAAAACAGCCACAAATTCCATGCCAATTTTCTTCTAATCCACCTAAATACAGCTACCTGATATCCAACTTGTCTAATTTTGAAATATTTGGTTATGGCTGTTAATAAAAAAGCACTTATAAACTGCATATAATTTTTTCAATTTTATGAAATACCACATGTACTTCTGCAGCAAAATTTAAAAATGCAAAAGGCTAATCAGCAATGTGTCCATGCCTTGTGTGATATTAGAAAGTGAATATTAAAATTTTGGTACATCTAAATTATTTTTATAAAACTTATTTTATATACAAGTTAAAAGTTCTTACCATAACAGTTTCTGTTCTGCTGGGATACTGGATGTAACACACTGTCAGCTTTTTTGTTTGACAAGGTCTGTTCACTGTAAAAGAAGCATAAGGGTAATTTGAAGGCTTAAACTGTTGATATACGTTCACAAACTTTACTTCTTTGAATGTACACAAGTCTAAAAGCTTTGCCTATGTGAAACTGACTCCTGTTATCATCACTGTCACCTTTTTTCACTAACACACACGGTTACCGAAGATACCTAAGTTAAAGTGCCACCCCTACTAATACTTCTAATGTGTCAGGCTGTTCTGATGCAGAGAAATTTAGGATGAATCCTTTAATAGAGACACAATACACAATTTGTGAGGCTGGAATTCCCAGTTGGTTCTGGCAATTGGATGCCCACTCATCCCAGCCTTACTCTAGAGTACAGCAGCAGGATGCTCAATATGCAGCACATAAAAAGTAAATTATCTTAATGTCACATCAGCCCTGCTTAATAAAGACAGCTGGCTCCCAAAGTTATCAATAGGAAAGTGACGTGTCACCTGTAAGAACTACCAACTGCATTTTTTCTCATTGTAAACTAAAGAATTTTATAAAAAAAATTAAAACGTTTATTAACAGAGATCACTAAGAAAGCATGACTGCTTTGAATACATGTTTTCTGTAGTGATTTTCAAATTGAACAAATACCACTGGTCAAATTCAATTTATTTGTAGGTTTTAACCTACACTTTGGTGCAGCAAAATAACACTATCCACGTGGTAGTATATGTTTTCCAATTTATCATCAGTATCACCCATGTCTGAAATGACAACATTCCTCAGCCCATCTAGTCCAAGCCCCCTTGCTCAAACAGGGTCAACTACATCAGGTTGCCCAGGACCTGGGCTATGACTCCACAACATACTTGTTACTAACATACATAAATTCTTAGCAAGTCTAATAAAATTTGGCTACTAACCACATTTTTGACCAGTTTTAGTAATTTAGAGTTTTTAGCAAAGATTTCTTTCAAACAGATCAATTATCAAATGCTCATCTAATACATCTGAGGTTCTAGAAAACTACATTTTTGAACAATTACTAATAACAGTGTAAGAGATTCACCTACTGCCACTCCCAACTCCTTGTCAGAGTCCTGTCTGTTCAGCTGTGACAGATATGATTTATATAGACACTTCTATTCCATTACAGATAGCAAGTTACCCACAGTCTAAAAGAACTCGTAACTAAAGAAGTGTAGCAATTATTTCAAATTAACACACCCTGCCCTTCAGCTGGGCTTTGCAGTTCTGGCTCAGCACCATAAAAACTTGATTCAGTGCCTTCCAAACAGAACTGGTGTTGCAGCCTGAGAGCAAAGTTAAACTTAACACTTGATTGTCTGTACCCACTTTTCTAGATATGTTGCTAGCTTTCTACAGAACTGACCTCAAATGTATAAAGTTCCAAAGCCTGTTTTCTTGATTTTTTTTTTTTTTTCAAAACAACACGTGAACATTAGAACAACTTATTTTTCTGTAAATACCATCTAGGCAAGTTCTAAGAGGATTAGCATTACCTGCAGGAAGTGCTTTCTTTAGCATTCTTGACATCTGCTGGATTGATTCCTTCAATAACAGGTGAGTCTGGATTTGCAGAACCATTGCTGATATGATCACTGCTTTCATAGCCAGATTCTGTCCTCTGAATTTGCCAGTTATCACCATGGATTTTTCTCTCTGTAAATCCTTTGCTTTTTTCAGCATTCCCTTTTCCCTCTGAATCCAGTGAACTTCGACTTCCTGTATCCTGTTTTGTTTCATCTTCATATATAGTCATTAAACCTTTCTGGATTTGGTTCTCTTTTGGCCAATGGTTAAAGCTTCGCTCCTTTTCGTGCTTAGATTTACTGTTCAGATTTGCCTTGTGCTTTGGGCTATGCTGTTTTTTCTCAGTCTCACTGAAAATGCTGTCTACATTTAGTGTCTCTCGCATAGGTTTCCAGCCTCTACTTCTGCTTCTGCTGCTGCTGCTACTTGCTTTGTCCCGGGAGTCTTGACTGGTGTCTGTATCATATCCAGTGACAACATCAGTCCGGGTCCTGATCACTGGTTTCTCCCCAGCAGGAAAAGCTTCTGTTTTATTTGATGCAAGCACCTGCACAGAAAGCTTTGCTTGCTGAGGTGCATTGTCATGCTTATTGCTGCCCCTTCCCTGGCTGCTGTATATGCGTGGGTCAGCACAGTGTTTAACTCCGTTTCCAACTGGAGGAGACCCCAACTTCATATTGGGACGATCTTCCCCAATCAAATCTTGTAAGAAAAGAAAAAAAGCTCCATTAAAGAACTCATTAACATTTAACTAGTATTTTTACAGTACTTACGTTTCTTACACTATTTTGAACTTGGTGCACATTTCAGAAAACCGGGAAACTCTAATCTTACAGTGTGTTCTCTTAAAAGGAGAAATAAAATCTGCACAGCTAGTATTGGTGCTAAAAGCTATTTAATCCATTGATCCACTGGTCATTTTAGAAACTTACCTCTTTGTCTCCCAGACTCTTTTCTGAGTCCTCTGTCTGCATCTTTTCGTAAAGATGAGAAGCTTTTCATATCAGCAGCTTTCTGAGCACACTCTCTGGATAAGTCCTTTAGCCTGTCTTTTTGATCACTGTAACCTAACTTGGCTGCAAAAGATACTTCTTTAGTAATGATCTTTGACAAAACTTATTCATCATCAAAACACACATATTTATGTACCATAACATTTAGTTTTTAACTTAAAAAGACTAGCAAATTGCATAGTACAGATTCAGAAAATGAGATGCATAGCACAGATAAAATGTATAGCTATGTCCAAGGAGTTCACTAGGTTGAACTAATGAAAATAAGCAATGGAGCATTATACCAAGCATGGCTTGCAAAACACCTCTTATTAAAACTCAATGCTCAAGCCATTTTCAATGCATGTACTAATTACATCAAATTTTACAAAATACACTGGAAAAATTAATCTAAGTTTAATCTCATATAAATGTGAAGGTTTACTTTTATTAGAACAGTGGAGTCACTATTTATGAAACAAATCCTTCTATTTCCGAAAAAGTAAATACTGACTGCATTTTAGTTATCACTCCAATAAAAAGAGAGTTACTGAGCTAAGCATTCTCAGTTCTAAAAAGTCTAGGAACTCAACAAAAAGAAAGACAGCAAGAGAAGACAGCATGTCTCTGCCTGAGAAGGGAGTTCAGAGCAAAGACACTGCCAAGTAGTGCAAAAGTCACTGCATAACTGACTTCTTATAGCTTGACTTGCTTGGAGCCCTAACATACAGATAGAATGGATTTTTAAACACATAAGAAAACTTTTTTTGCTATTCTTTCCAAATATAACCAAGTCCATTAATATACAGGACTACAAATAATGCTCCATGTCACAATACTGTTGGCAGTGTTCCTCAAATAGCCAATGATACACAGAACTACACCATGTGCTCCGAAAGATCAACTAACTTCGAGTTTTTCTTAATCAATAATATAATTGGAACGCCAGATACTGTCTGAGGAATGTATCAAGGCCTCAAGAGCCATTTTTGTGCAGGAATAATGAGGGGTAATTTAAAAAAATGCATTTACAGTTCTCCAGAAAAGTTAACATTTCATGGCAGGTATTACTTAACCATTAGTTGTTACTCAAAGATTCTTTCAAAACAATGACAGAATGCATACATACCTGGACCTCTACCACCACTAGCTTGAATATGGCTTCTACTGAATGCTGAATTATCTGGCTGAAGTTTTTTATTAATCCTTTGATTCGTGGGGTCGCCAATTCCATTCTCTTTTATGTGGTCTGATTTAGGAGCAGAATGTTTTTCAAATCCTAAAAAATAACATCTATCTTTAGAAATGAAAGACTTCCTAAATTTAAGTTTCCAACATCTAAGTTGAAAAATAGGGAAACTTCTTAACTGCAAATTAAAACAAATGAACAAAAGAAAAACCTCACAAAAAGCCCACCCCACTTTTCAATATCCTAAGCAATAAGTTCTGTAATATAATAAATACAGCCATAGTTATAGTGGTGGACCATAGTGGAATATGGTCCTCAATTCTTTTTCCCCTGAAGCAATGTCCTACTGCTACTGATTATGTAAAGAGGAACATGTCAAATTCAATTTGCCTTTAATTTAACTTACTTGTATATTATGCTTAATATTTTGAAAAAAAACACCAAAAAACCTAAAACCAAACCACAAGACAGCAGTACAAACTACAGAACAGAAAGACTGGATTCTTACATATTGAGGCCCATGCTATCCAAATCTTGGAGAATGTTTCCTGCATTTTTCCCAAATTTCTGAATTGTGTTCAGTGTGTGTGTATACATATAAATACACATGCTCCAAATATGTTTCCACATTTGTATGAAGCTTTAAAGTATCTTTTTATGGCACTTTTAAAGGTCTTTTAAATGTATCAATACACACAAAAGAACATCCACATACACATTTTTCTCTTGCAATTACTGAAGCTACATGTAAAGTAGTTATGAATAATCTACAATAAAAAATCTTTTTTCCCCATTATCATTGAATCCCAGTTTGTATTCCCTTAGACACAAAATAGTTCTAATATTGAATATATACACTAATCTCTTCTCTTTTGAGACCATTTAGATAATTATTTATAAAAGTATTTAAGAGCAAAGCAACTAATCCATTACCTTCTCCTTTATAACCCAGGTCTTCCCCATTTCCTCCTGCTGCTTTGCATTGAGACCAGTGAATAATTTGCTTTGGAGCATCCTCTGGAGATACAGCTGTGCCATCTGGGTTGGCATAAAATAGCAACAATGGCTGGAAATGACATCGAATGCATCTGGAGACCACATCTTTCCATTTTGTTCCAATCTGAGGAAAAAAAACAAACCAAAATAAAATACCAGAACTTTATCAACAGAACTGAACCCAACTATGGAAAGAATAATTTATTAAGCAACAGAAACCAAATGCCTAGTTCCAAAGGTACACTAAGATTCAGCATTTTGGCATGTGAGTTTATGTAAATTGTGACAAAAAGCTAGAACCTGTATTACATGGGATAACAACCTGAACACCAACACTATGAATACAACTGCCAGTAATTAGGTCCTTTTTTATGACAATAAGTACAAATTCAACAGAAGAGAACTGCATTAACATTCTGAAACATTCAGCACTAGTAAGGCAGAACAGCAAAGTAGTGAATTCACTTGTAAAAACTGATTTACAAAACAAGATTTTTAAAAAATAAAGAAATTTAACTTGTTTTAAGTTTAGTTTCAGAAGAATGCATCCTAGAGAAGTAAAGATTATTTAATTTGGTAGCAGTAAAAAAAAAACTTACCTCTTTTACATTAGCATCATCAAACAGCACCCATTTGCAACTCTTGGTGTGAAAGGCAAAGGCACAGTAATGTCGACTTGTGTAGCAAATCATTCCCACAAGGAAGAGTTCACTATTTTTGGCATTTTCATCTGTAACCCTATAAAAGAGCTGTAAAAATGGTTATATGTTTTCCTCTCACAGAAACAATATCAAGTAGTACATTATGAAGGTAAAATTAAGACATAAATACATCCAAAACTAAATTCTAGGATAAGCAAATAGCAAGACTTCAATCAGATACCCCAGGAAGGTAAAGTTGTGTTGCCAAATTCCGCATAACCTCTTCTGTCAGGTCAGAGTGTTCTGAATCCCAGACTAAACCAATTGTGACAATCTCAGGACAATTCATAAGAACACGACGAATTTTTATTTTTTGACCACAGTTACTCTATAAAAAGGAAAAACAAAACAAAAGAGTGATGTGAGGGAAAATATTCCACTAAAAAATGGAAGTCCAAAGTTGAAAGCTGAGTTACTAGACAAGAAATAACAGAACAAAACAACTCTACAACTTCTTCTAATTCTCAAATTTAATTATGATGTTTGTTGCAAACCATTTAAGAATAAAATTCTTCAACATAAAAGCACTCTGATGAAGAGTACAGCTAAATTTCTGCATCCAATCACCATCTTAAACCAGGAGTCTCTGCAAACATCCAAGTCACCAACACAGTTTCTTTTTTGATCCCCCTGCATTTAATAATTTAAGCTTAGGCCTATATGTTCTTGTGTACTTTCCTATGGTTCTTAAACTAACAGTATTTACACAGAACCATTTAAGGAAGACAGGAATTAAGTAGAACAAGTTCAAGGAGACTTGTCAATAGAAGTACAATATTACTCCAATAGAATACAATGCTGTCAAGCTGTCAGTATATATGAACTAAAACCTGTTCCAACTAATTAAAACTATCTAGCTCTACATTGAACACGAAATGAAGAACAAAACACCAACCTAATAACTTGACTTTCTAAACAGGCCACTTGCACCTACACTGCCATGTTTATCTATAACTGGAGCAATAAAATATAAATTTAAGGACTTTTTTAGCCCAGGCTAGACTGTGCTGAAGTGGCCAGAGGTAATCCAACTTTTAGGGGAATATTTCAGCCTAATTTAATATCCTAAAAAGCTCTCCCATGTATATCGAAGTACTTCAACATCTTTGTTTACTTACAGGACAGTTCCTGTAGTCATCAGTAGTATTTGCTGCCTGCAGCAATTCTGCAAACATTTCTGGCTTGAGACGTTCATGCCTCTCCATCATTCTTTCTACTTCGTTACTGTAAAAAATAAATGGAAATAATTGTGCACTGCTCTTCTTAAGAGTTAATAGATTTTAGTCAACTCTCAATGAACTATATCTTATCACTAAAAAGAAAAGGTACAGAGATAAAACACTAGCAATCAATACTCAAGCTCTCTCTACATCTTGCTTTGAAATCCCATTATACTTTTGGACAGTATCTCAAAAACTTTTTAATAGAAGAATACGCATTCATTTTTAACACAGCATTTCCCTGGCATGCTTTGCTTATTATTGAAAGAGTG